GCTTTTGATAGGCTGTGCTGAATGAAAACACATCTCAAAGGGCTCTTTGCCATATACCTGAATCTTTGGCCTACCTTGAAACTAAACTGGAATGTTTGGCTTTCACTGACTCCAGAGCTGAAGCTGTCTTTAGTGGTTGGCACAGAATCCAAAGCCACACAAGATGGCAGAGGTTGGACAGGCAGACCATAAAGAGAGATGAAAAACTGTTGGCCAAATGGGCTCAGTCCTGCTGAAGCAGCACTATATCAGAAGGGCACGAGTCCAAAGACTGATACAGTACTTCTTTAGATGATATTGCCTCCCATTTAATACCATCTGTTGAACATGGCACTCTTGTGTATCATCTCTACAAAAGAAGAGCATTAATTATTTTCTGAATGTTATTCAGACATATGTAAAATACATTATTATGCAAAAGCCTTAAATTATTTCTTGTTGATTTAGTTTTCTTCCAAAAAGGCAGGCTTTCTTGAATACAAAAAAGGTTTTAGGCTATATTTTCCTAAAGCTACAAAGACTGAACAGAAAATATATATTTTTTTTTATTTTTTTTAGATATATTGAACACAACTACTTTAAAAAAATACAAGAAAAACAGTGAAGTGTGAAAAGTTCATTTTGAACTTTTGCAAATTTGAGAGCCTGTCGTGATCAAATCAACTCTGCTATTGCCACATTTCAAAATCAGGAAGTTAAGATACCGCACAGTCTTGGAAATACAAGGTAGACTTTTGTAAAAATCCAATAACAGATATATATGTTAAAACTGACTGAAAGTTCCTCCTTACACAGGTCAACACTAAGTGGACTGGAAGATTTGGGTGAGGAGATAAAAAAGTCATGCACCTGGCAGAAAAATAATATAACTTTATAGGAGAAAACACTGTATCAGTAAGATAATTCTTGAAAATATCAATGCTGACCTTTATTCAGCTGAAAACAACGATATGGGACGTTTTCTCATTGAGTTCTGTATTATGTTGAAGTAGAAATGATCAGAAAAGTAACTAGAAGTGTCCAGTGTTTTCAAGTCTGTGCAGTAAGTGTGTGTGCTGTTCAAGTCTAAGAGGCCAAACTGAAATGGAGTCAAAAATAACTCGAGCCACTCAAACACTGCAGTGAGCTTTTAGAGCTTTGAGGCCTTTGATGCTGTAACTGTTTAAGGATGTGGCAACATGGGATAACACACTGTTCCTATCCTTTTGTTGTTAAGACACCAACCTAAATTAGTCCATTAAAACTACAATTCATGTTTGTTTTTCCATTTTGTTTTATTGAACATACACCAAAGGTATATGAAGACAATTTTAAAGCCCTGCATAATACTACTTTAATAATAACTTGTATAGTGTATACTTTATTAGACAATGCTGTAAAATGCACTGTTGCATTATTTCAGATAGATCATAAATCTCAGAGTATGTAGAAGAAAAGTACAGATCATTTCAGAACAGGATCATTTAAAAGCTGTTCTGACACACTCCTACTACTTCATAAGAAATTGGTTCACCCAGTGTGAATCACAGCACTGTATCCTAAAACAAACACTAGACTGTGAAAAAGGCCGAACTCATGCCTTTTTCAAATTTCCAAAAGTTGCTTTTGTTGGCATTTGATTTAAGAACTACAGAAACTTAGCCCCATTGTGCACACACATATTTCAAATGAGCCAAATCTCCCATTTCAATAAGCATTTACCGTTTTAGAATGTTAAAACCAAAACTGTATCAAAAACAAAACTTAAAGTACAAACTAATAATAATAATTAAAAATATATATATATTCTGTACTGGGAAGATTTGATACAAATGTTGCAAATAATAGCTTAAAACTATGCATATGTTTCGTTTCTGAAATTGAAACAATAATAAAAAAAAAAACGGGAAAATGTAAACCGACAAAATACTACTGTTCAGTTTATACTTGCTGTAGAATGAGGTTTTTAAAACACTTTCTGCAAATGCAGTGCTGATTTTAAAGGTCTGTGACACGAGTCATGTTCCAAACAGCAGTCATGTTTTGATTCAAGGTCCTTCCATTGTCTTTAAAACCTCTAGACTTCATGCTATGGAAATGCCATTCTCTGTTGCTACTAGTGACACTCGGCAAAACAAACATATCAAGTGGTTTGGATGTACCGCTAACTATGTTTCCCACTCAGCTATCTGTTACTCTTCTTTCAGTTACAGCAAGCAAGCCTCGAACTGGGCGATACTGGTGCGGGAACCAACCTGCAGGTTACTGTGTTGCAGCAGGAGTGCTGACCCTGGCACATCTGTAGGCCAAAATGCATGCATCACTATGGTATTTTTTTAGATGAGATACATCTTTTTTGCACTGACATTTGATTTAACATTTACAACTATGTAAAAAAAAAAAGTCTTCAGTTTGCAAATCAAACCACACTGACTTTTTAGACAGATCCTCTGGGACTTGTAAACTCAACCAGGCGTTGTCAGTAGATTCATACAATGATTAAAAAAAAAAATCCTCTTGTAATAAACCCAGAGGCTCCCGTCAGAGACACGGCTCTGTCATAAAATGATTTAATGAGCATAAAAAGATCCATTGAAAGCCATGCCTCTTAATGCCATTACACAGTCGCCACTAGTTTTACAGACTGCATTCAAGAAAATGTGCATGTACGCCTTCTTTTTTAACTACTAATGTAGTGCATTCGTTTCCCACTCCAAGTCATTTCTTACTGAGGTAATTTATGATTGTTAATATTTTTGATGTGTTTTGTTACCACAAACCAGAGAAAGCAAACTTCCAACACATTATAGGTAGTAGGCTGTGTACATCAGTGTGTACCTATGTCATCTTTTGGGTCCAAAAGTTTGTTTTGTGACTGTACAGTTTACTTACACTGTACATTTAGGAGATTTTTGTATTGGGATCGTTATCGATGCCTGACACAAATCAAAAACAGGCTCAGGCCACACAAACGACTGCTCCAAACTCTGCACGACAGCACAAGCTCTGCACTATCAACTCACTCTACCCACCAACCATCTCACTGATCTTTTTGGCTCAATTTACTGCCCACATGCCCTGTTACCCCCATCAGCAACCTGCTTCTTTCCTATCTCACCCTTCATGTTCCAGTTAAATAATCTGGAGCCGTCTTCTCCCTCTGTTAGATGATTTTTGGATTCCTGGTCTTTAAATAACTCATTTATCTCTCAGAGCATTTGCACGTCTCTCATCTCCTGAACTTGTTGAGAGGAATTGGTGGTGAATAAAAATCTGTTTTCTTCTCTCCAACATACCCACAGTGTTTTGATTATACTGTCAAAAATAGATCTGGTGTCTCCAGTCACACCATCAAGGCATTTAAAATGTAAATAAGTTAAACACGTTTTTTTTTTTTTTTTACTAAAGTCAAACCATTCTGACTGAAATCTATAAACCAAGTCCACTAAACCTGGCAACCAAACTGAGCTGCAGCTCACCTGTTAAAACTTGAGCAGGCTGCCCAAAAACACATTTTGTAATATTTTATTGTCATGTCTTTATGCTTTTTACTCAGTGAAAAAAATACTCGGGATTAAACGGCTGACTGACACTTCAATACTTAGCAAAACAATTTGTTAAAAAAAAATCTAACTTGAAGATCTCTGCTTGAAGCAGAAGGGAGGATGTCCTGCTAAAGGGGTGCTGCAGTAAAAAGCTGCAAATGTAGCGACAGCCAGTTTGAAGGATTCAAAAGCTTTGATCAGCATTTCAGTAAGTCGCAGTGCGAACGTGAAGCAGCACGACGACGATGTGGAATTAAATAAACTGACACATTTAAAGGCATTTTGTCACTTCACATGTTGGGATAAGTTGGGAAAAATAATACAAATAAACAACCAAAGATTAGATTTTAATTACATTCTAGATAATATGTCTAAGCACAGACTGGGAATAATATTCTACTGTAATATTTTAAGCCTGGCAATTAACATTTGTAGTGACAGGTTGTATTATTTCATCACTCCCAAGACTGAATGGGAGAAGTGCTGAGTCATAATAATGCATACATGAATGTTTATATGAATTCATTTTTTCGTGACTTTAAGGGTCTTTTTGAAGTTTTGACTTTGAGAAGTTTCATGAGTTTGTTCATTTCCTCATCATGTAAATCAGTCACTCTGATAGTTCGACAGACAGCGAATAAAAATGATATTTGCACTGTAAGAGACGTGCCTTAAAAGCTTTTTAATCTAAAAATGTTTGCATGTGTCTTCAGTCTTTACATGCAAAAAAGCTATGGGCGGAGCAACAATTTGTGAAAGAAACCAAAATAAAGTTTGTGAAAAAGAACGGCATATGAAAGTGTTTGCAAAGAGAAATATAAGATTTCACATAACGACAGCTCTTGTGCAGTGGTTCCCTGAAGTCTTTTGCTTTTTGACCCATAACATATAAAGTGGCAGTGACTCATAATCGGAAGATCTGACACTTTATATGTGCTGCTGATCATCCATGCTGCTCATTTCTTACCCATATATTCACAATCTGCTCACAACAGACTCATGTTCAGGCTGCTGTTTTTTATTATATTATATTGTTATTGTTTAGTGAATATCTTAGATCCTTGTACTCTTTATAGTTTATATTACTGCTATTTTTTGGGGTGTAACTGGGAACTAGAGTACGCAATTTTGTTCCACGAATGACAATAAAGAACCTTGAATTAACCAAACAAAGGTCACTTACAAAAGAACTTTGTCTAATTTTATACAGAATTCAACACATTTATGACTGATATTTCTTTATGCTTGAACATCATTTTTAAAGCTCACATTAACATCTGTAGATCTTTTCAGGACCCCACAGCTGGTGTTTCATGACCTCAAGTGGGGTCCTGACCCCAACTTTGGCAACTTGCACTTTTGACAGAAACCTAGACATCCATTTAGAAACTAACTCAATAAGCACATGCCAACAGGTAATAATGCAGTTTGCTCCTGTCAGGAGGAAGATGCTCGTGCACCCCTCGCAGTGAGTACCTGTGTAAGGTGTCTCCGGCACGAAGTGAAGCGGCCCCACCTGCCGCAGCTGGAAGGCTGCCTTCACCTCGCGACAGCTGTACGCGTCCCCGTCCATCACATTCACCGCCAATGTGAACAACGTTAACATCCAGACGGTGTCCAGGGAGTTCACGCGGGAGCACTTTCCTCGGGACATTGCCGCATCTCACACCAGCAGGTCTCCTCTTTGGATCAGCTGTGGTCTGACTCTGAACTGGGAGGCTGCGTAAGTCTGGGAGCGACGTTCAGTTTCAAGCTTTCCCCACTGGCTTTCACATTATTGGTTAGGATGAGCGCCCAGGAGACAGACAGACAGACATACAGACAGAAGAAGTGTGGGGTCTTCTCCTGCACAGAGGAGGGGGAGTGGAGTGGGTCTGCCTGCCTGCATGCCTCCTGCCAAAGCCCGGCGCACATTCCCCTCCTTCTTTATTTACTGCCTCAGCTGAGCGCCTTGACTGGAGTCACTTTAATACCCTCAAAGGGACGTTTTTATGCAGATATATAATTCTGAGAGCCCTTCAGTTCCTGCCAATGAGCTCATCTATTTGCATTTTAAAAGAGCACATAAAATGAACTTCTTTTTTCCAGTTTTTCACCCTATTCTAACTTGTTTTTATTCGTTTGTTTTCTACAGTTGTGAGAAAATTTGACATTTAGGGCACTTGTTTTTACTTCCAAATATTTAAATAAAAGCAAATTATTTCAAGTCTTTTAACGTTTGCTTTTCAACATTTAGATATTGTTTTAACTCGAACGTGTGTGTTTAGGTAGAACAGAGCAGGGATCTATGGAGCTGTGTTTGGCGCCCTCTAGTGGAATGAAACAAAAGTTTTCGGTGTCAGCAGCAGCTCACGTGAGGGGAAAGGGTCTCCAGAATATCTCAGAATATAGCAAAATGATGTTATCTATGGGACATGCCATGCCACTTTCCCTATACATGTGGAATAGGCTTTCATTTCGCAATTATCCATAATTACCTATAAAATGTATTATGCATTTTTTTATAAGATAAACTTAAAACAGAATTTATAGGGACACACTTGGCCATTGGGTAGCAGTCCTTTTGTTACTATAAGCATTTTTGTCATTAGAAATATTCAGTACTCATAACTTAACTAGTTTTAACTAATTTCAGACATTGGTAAGCAGTAAAATAATGACTACAAATAATTTAACTATACTACAATGATCATTTAAATCTTTGCAGAAAACCAGACTTTTTATATAAACTTTAATATAAAACATAAAAAATAGTGACTAAAACAACTAAATTGTAGAGATCTTTCTTCTATTAAAATTTCAATGTGGCAATGCTGTTCAGTTTTAGCTGTTTTATACGATATACGGGCATTTATTTAGATGTTATTGTATTTAAGTTTATTTTAATGGTACTATATTACAAGCTGGAGTAAAAGTGTTGCATTTTCTTTAATGTACATTGTTCTTATAAGGATGCTAAATAAAATTATTTTACCTTATCTTATATTCAAATTCTTCATTCTAGGTTATAAGATTATCATTATAAAATGTGGTATTTGGAAAGCATAAGGATAATTTGATTAAATGCTACATCAGTTTGCCAATATTAAAAAATGTGCTAAAAATGTTTGGAAAAATGTAAAAAAAAAAAAAAAAAAATACGTGTCTCATCAAAGAGGCGGGCTATATTTAGTCACACTAATTGATTTAGGCATTCCTATAGTGGCTTAACATCCAATTTGAAAAGAAACATCTACTTTGTGTTGATTTTATTTTTTTGGGGGGAAGAAAATTCTGAGTAAATATGTTGTTGGAAGTTAAATAATATGTACAACAGATGGCGCCAAACACCAGGTTTTTCTTTTCTGCTCACACCTGCTTCAGATGTTTTCTTCTTTTATTTATTGTTTTATTTTTTTGTTCATTTACCCTCTATTTATACAGGTAGTCTCATTGAGTCATGAGAACTCATTTTCAAGAGATATCTATTTTAGGGAGCAGGTGGGGGTTAAGGGCCTTGCTCAAGGGCCCAGAGTGGAGCAAATGAGGGAGGAGGGGGCAGGTGTGAGTGTTTCACCCACATTTACCTGTAATTCTAAAAAAGTAACACAATAAAGTGTATTAGGAGGTGAAAAGGTCAATATTTTTTTTACTGTCTATAATGTCTCTCTCTCTCTCTCTCTCTCAAAAGTGTTGATGAACACAATTTAAACTCTTTTCAATCACTTAAGTACAGGTTTTCCTATGATGAGGATTTTGTATCTCATTTTGTTTAGGTCCAGTGGTTTACCCTCAATCTGTGTACGTTTAATTATCAGTGGCTCTCTAAACTGTACGTGCAAAGGTTCACAAGGGGTTAAACCCATCAACCGCCTGTTAGAGCGATTACTGTCTACAGCCTCCCATTTTCACCTCACTGTCTTGGTGGAACAGCAGGACGTGTGAAGAAGTGTGGACATTAGAGATGTGTCTCTGCTTGACATCTCCTGAGGGTAGGAAGGGGTGATAAGTAAGAGTTTAGATGCCTGCAGCTGTGTTCTATAACAAGATGTGCAACTGCTGTTTCTAAATGTAAAAACATTGTTTATGAAGACACTATAATATGTGCCATTTTGTGTACTGAGGTGGAATGCATATATTTGCAGCACGAGTGTGCAGAGTGGTCAGATGTGCACTGCTGGTCAGAGCAAGAACCTTATGCTCCACTTCTTCCACCAAAATCTGAGAGATGCACGAAAGCCATGTTGCATCTTTAATGAAAACCTGACATCCCTTCCACTGGTGTCTTCTTCTTCCTCACATGGTTTGACTTTCACAGTGAACAGAACACTGCTTTTCTTATGCTGCCATATAGGCTTACACTACCAGAGCACAAATTGCTAAAATGTAATAGTTTTCATTTGATATTATTTCTGTCTTATGTAACGTGATTCTCGACTTGCCATTGTGTATCTGTTCCTCTCAAACCCAACCTGTCGAAGCAGATGGACACTTGTCCTGAGCCTGGTTCTGCTAAGGTTTCTTCCTCATGAGGGAGTTTGTCCTTTCCACTGTCACCTTCATGCTTGCTCAAGATGAGAGTTCTGAGATGGAGTTAAATTAAAATCAGTCTGCTCCTCAGATAAATAATGTTAACTTATTATTTTTATTTATGAATGTTTCTATTCAATGCCCTGAGACGACTTCTATTGTGACTTGGCGCTGTATAAATAAACTGAATTCAATTCAACATTTTTCAGTCAGGTCATCTGGACAGTTTCTTTTTTTTTTTGTGCTGAAATGTTTCTCCTTCCATCCAGAAGGCTTCATCTGTCAAGGAAACACACAACACAAAACTGATTCAAACAAACCGAACAAACTGACCACAATTTTCACTCTGCTACTGTCTTTACTTACTCTGCTCAACCTGTTTTGTATTTGTAATTATTTTTTCTATCCTTAACATGTGTTTTTTTGTCTTTCAGGTACACCTGGACTTATACCTGGACCTACCATTCTATGTTCGTCTGTCTCTCCTCCCTGTCCTCTCAACCAGCCGGTCAAAGCAGATGGCCGCTTGTCCTGAGCCTGGTTCTGCTGGAGGTTTCTTCCTTTTAAAAGGGAGTTTTTCCTTTCCACTGTTGCCACTGTGCTTGCTCAGGATGGGAGACTGCAACAAAGCCAAGACTCAACTTGTCTGCTGATTCCTTAGATAGAGAACTTAACTAATTGGCTTTTATGTATGCAAATGTTCCTGTAAAGAGCCCTGAGACAACTTTTTTTGTGATTTGGCGCTATATAAATAAACTGAATTGAATTGATTCTTCTCCCAACAGCTTACTCCAAAGTGGAACAAACCAGTTTTGTTGGTGCTAAAAAAGGAAACTGTCCAGATGACCTGACTGAAAAATTTTGGATTGTATACCTGGATTATTGAGCATGGACTTTGTTGTTTTCAACCAGTTTGACACGACTGTCAACAAGGAAGAGGGCTGGCAATGGAGGAGGGGGCGTACCAAAGAGACCATCTTATCACAAGCAGAACTGGTTTGTTCCACTTTGGAGTAAGCTGTTTGGGGGAAGAATCAATTTTGTGTTGTGTGTTTCCTTGACTGATTAAGCCTTCTGGATCAAAGGCGAAACGTTTCAGCACAAAAAAAAAGAAACTGTCCAGATGACCTGACTGAAAAATGTTGGATTGTATACCTGGATTATTGAGCATGGACTTTGTTGAATTCAATTTAATTGAAATCAAAAGCTTTAAAGAATCGGCATCCCTCTGCAAACCAGTTTAAATAGGAGATGCAGTTCATCACTTGTAGGTGTCCGTCTTTGATGGCAAGACGTTCACCTGTTAGAATACCTCAAGCAGAACCCTTTGCTGTATTTATAATGAATCATTTCTGACTGTGTCATCTAATTGATTGCTTTAATGTTTTTATAGACTCTTCATTAGCCTGTTAGAGTGCTGCTGGATCAATGCAACATCTTTACATGCATGATTGAACTGAGTAGCATGCGTCTGCTCAGGGGGGGGGGGGGGGGGGGGGGG